CACCGAGTGGATGTTTGGAACAAAAAGTGCATTAAGGAAAGTATTGAATAAACGAAAAAATGAAATCAAAAATGGTAGCAGTACTAATAAAGTTAATGTTGGCGACAGTGGAAGCAGCAGTGGCGGTAGCAGCAACAGGAAACAGGGAACAGCTGATGATGTTGCCGCAAAAAATGTCTGCGGTCTAGGTCATCGTCATCAATCGTCGTCATCATCGGTGACCACCGATGGTGTAAATGTTACCACTACCAGTAGCATCACCACCACCACTACTACTACTACTACTACTGCTGGTGGACCATGCTATTTCTGTTCCAATATGGAAACTGATTGTAAATGTGCAACAAAAATGGATGTTGTTGCACCACTGCCACTACATTTGACCAGATTTACACTACTACATCATTCCCATCATCATTCGTCGCTTAACAAAGATTATCGTCGAAGTATTAGCATTGCTGGTTGGCCATCACAGTTGGCAAAAACATTTACACATTTTCGGAAATCTCGGCGTAACTCAGCTGATCATTCTGCAATTCCTTGTAAACACTTGGTAATATGTTTACAAACTGCTAGTTTTAAGTGTCACCTTAAGACAGATGATGAATATTTTTTTAAGTTTACTAGCAGTTTTTTAATAAGTAAAAACAGCATAAACTATAGTCAATAATATTAGTGGTTATTAGTAGTTTGTAGCAATAAGGAAAACAAGAATAAGTTACAAAGATCAATTAGATTATTAGTGGCATTTAATGTTACATTTTTTAATTTTATTGATATATACTTATAAAAAATTGTTTTTTGTCTCCATTTTTTTTTTTTTTTTCTGTTTTCTGTTTTTTTATTATGTTTTATTTAAAAAAACTATATATTTTAGGATTTGCCGAGGAATGTAGCGGAAAATAGAGGTGCTGTTAGCAGTGCATCGTTGGGAAACAAAAGTGCTTTGGAAATCAACAAAATTATTTTGGGTAAGGGAAGAAAAAACAAAAAAAAACAATGTTTGATCATTTTTTTTTGTTTTTTTGTATTGATTGAAATTTTTTCATTTTTTATTTATCCGTTTTTGTTGGTCAATGATTTTTGATAAATTTTAGAAAGTCGAGATAACGTATATGCACTGTTTATGAAGGCACATCACTGCTTTGATCTGATACCGCTAAGTGTCAAAATAACGGCAATTTCTTCTGATTTACCGGTATACATTGCTTCCGCTTTAGTTGTCCTTTTTTTTTTGGCTTTTTTTTCTTTGCCATATTTTCATCAATGTTATTTCAACAAAAATAAAAAAAAAAAAAAAAAAAAGGAAGGGAAAATTGTTGTTGATCAATATAAATACACTGTAATTGTAATTGATAATGATCAGTGTTCATGCATTTATAAAAATTTTTTTCGGAAATGACCAATGAACACTTCCAATTACAGGTACTAAAAGCATTTTGCGCTTATGTGTATAATGGTGTCCGTGCATCACCACTTTATTTTAGCGATATTGGAGGTTTCAACGGAATGGTTACTGCCAGTGATTTTATTGAAATTATGACTAAGTAAAAATTATTGTTGTTCAATTTTTTAACCTTTATTGCTTCATACTTTTCTTCCTTGTTGTTGTTGTTGTTGTTTCTTGCATTTTTTCTTGAACAGCTAATAATAGTTGAAAATATGATTTAGATTTTATCATGAAGGATCACTTAACGAAGTGCTGAAAGATTTAGAAGGCTTTACACTAAATGACTGGTTGTCTATGTTGCAAACAAATGGTTGCAGGTCAAAACGCTTTGTTTACGTTGATCCACGTGACAGGTTAGTGTAAATTTCCACTAGTTTTAAAGATTTATTCTCATATTTTTCTCATCGACTAATTGCTTCAGTCTTAAACATGCAATTTTCAGCTTGTTCAAGGCTGTACAGGAAATGTGCAACAACCATATACATCGTTTGGCATTAGTTGACAGGACGAATGGCAACGTTGAGTTTATTGTATCCTATAAACGGCTGTTAAAATTTGTTTTTATTTATGTAAGCAATTTTTTTTTTTCCATCTGTCTTCCACAGAAACTATGTAAAACTAGCAGTATGATGCAAGACTATTTAAATAGATGCTCCGTCATGCTAATGTATTGCGGTTGCCGTTAGCACTTAGCGGGCGCCATTCAAAAGAACACTGGTGAAGGGCAGTCCAATGTAATTGTGTCGTCATACAACCGCATTAGTTTTTCAAATATGGGAGAATTGAAAGACAAGCAGATCAGCTCGTTATAGGGCATTTCATTTTCAGCTTATCGCTGAAGTTCCCATCAACGTGGAATCTGTGTCTGCTGGGACAGCTTCAACTTCTCGAAAATGAAGCTTAATGCGGATACGATCACGTAAAAGTCTTCATGTATTCAAGACATTTACTCTGGAAAGATCCTGCGGTTATTAGAATAATCCATAGAAAAAGCTATTGAGCTGCCCAGTTGGACTAGGAGTTACTGATTGTTTCATTGATTTACATTTT